GCACTTCTCAGAGGAAGCATACACAAACCGATTTGCCGATGATCTGGTTCGGAGGCTCAAGAAGGACGAAATCGGCGTTTGCGTTTTTCCAACAAAGCATGCTCGTTGTGTTTCAAGCAACAAAGCTGCAGCGCCTCTTCCTCCTTTCTGTCCCTTTCGTACAACACTAACCATTCTTCGTCCGCTAACGGATCATCGGCATATGCCTCTTGCGTGCCTTCCTTGTCGCTAGCCATGTAGCTCGAGTTTGGCGAACCTTCGACTTCCAACTCGTAATTACAAATGTTGGCCAAATAAAAATTGTTTTCACCCGCATACAACGAAAACTACGTCTCCGCTTTTGTTGTTTTGTCTCTGTTATTGCTTTGTTTTCCCTGTTGCTAATGCCCAGGTTTTACGTCACTAGTCCCAGTCTCCCTTTTACCCAGTCGTGGGGCAGACAAACCCGGACTTCAAAACTTCATAAAAAATTCCGGTTTTGACCAAAAACAAAAATGTTTCGCCATTTTACTTAGAAATATACAAAGATTTATATGAGCCAAAATAATTTTTGGGTTTATAGGCACTTTAACACTTCGGAAAAAAATACAAATACATGTGTGAGCATGAAGAGTGATTTTAAGGGTTCCTTTCAGCCTTCATGAGAGTCAAATAGGCCTTGGTTTTCATTTGTACCTGGATTTTCTATGTCTGCCAAATCCACAAAACTACTGACATGATGTGCTGTAAGACTGATCAAGTGAAAATAATAGAAACGTAAACTTTCCATTTACATGTTGTTCAGTTGCCATTCTTCCCTACTGAATGGGCAAGTATGTTATCTGACATCCTTGCCTGGCTGATGACTTTGAGAAGAAAAACAAATGAATATGGATCCATGCAATCATAAGCCCTAACAACTGCATGGCATTAACTGTGAAAGTACAGAGAACTGAAAACACCATTCACTACAGATCCATGGACATAATAAAAGTTTCTTTGCCAGTAATACCTGGTATTTCCCATCACATTTCACCACAACTCCAACCCTCTCTTCAGGCTTTTTTTTCTCTACAACCTGTTGAAAAAAAATAAATTGTATATAGTGCACTGAGCTCTGAAAAAGCAATTTACTGAAACCAATTTGTGAGCAGTCCATCACAATGGTCTTAACTGCAAAATGAATACCATTAAGTAAACCAATCAGAATTTTCCTTTTCAACTTGGACCAGATTGCCATGTAATAAAAGTGTGTAATTTATGACAGGCCTGTTAAAACCTGGAGAAGGTCAACTGAGGAAGAACTGATAATAGCAGGAAGACAGTAAAGAAAATGGTAGCAAAAAGAGTACACTGGTATGTACAACATTGTGGATGCCGTTTATCCTATGAGGAGCATAAGGGAATAAGGAATAACTTTAAGGGAATATACCAAGCAAAATAGGGTTCTATAATCAACTGAACATTATTGAGTAAAACCAACCTTAGCGCCACATTCTGCTGCTTTATCAATACAGAATCCTATAAACACAGGATCTGCCATCTTGACCAGAATGTTGTCCACACAGTAAACATGAACAAACTCAATTCCTCGTCTCTTCATCTTATCAATGCGTTTCTTTTCATTCAGAACTTCATACAGACCACCATTTCCTCCAGGAGCTCGAGCAACTTTACCAGGCTGGTCAAGAATGATTTTACCCTCAAATGTTAGACAGGGCAGAGTATGTTGCTCAAACAGAATCACGTCGTTCTTCTGAAGTCCAAAGTAATTGTGCTCTTCAAAATACTTTTTAGTGTCATCCATGGTATGTTCACTGGTCATGATGTACCTGAAAGGTATTAGATAACAGCAGTTATTAAAAACTGGATCTTTGTATAATGCAATTCAAGAGTTTTCACTGGCTTAGCCATTAAGTGTTATGAGCATTGTGGATGACATTGTGCAATGTTTGTAGAAAAGCCTCCTGTCAAA